CATACGGAATCTCTTCCCTCGGTTTTCCGAGGGAAGCAAGCATATGAGGAAATTCATGAAATTTGGTCATTTTTTCACGATTTTCATGAGTTTTAGGCGACTGGGTTTTTTTTACTACTCGCAATTTTTTACGATTTTCGTACGGAATCTCTACCCGCGGTTTTCCTCGGGTCGCAAACATATGAGGAAATTCATGAAATTTGGTCATTTTTTTCAGCAAAAATATATTTTAGGGTAGAAGGTTAGATCTAACCTGTTTTCTAACCTGTTTTCTACCCTCGTGAATTTTCATGATTTCATCGTACATGTTTTGTCAAGACTTCTTCGTAATGAGCGTAAATCAGACAAAAATATATTTTAGGGTAGATGGTTAGATCTAACCTGTTTTCTAACCTCTTTTCTCACCTCATGAATTTTCATGATTTCATCGTACATGTTTTGTCAAGACTTCTTCGTACATGTTTTGTCAAAACTTCTTCGTAATGAGCGTAAATCAGACAAAAATAATGTTTAGGGTAGAAGGTTAGATCTAACCTGTTTTCTCACCTGTTTTCTACCCCAGTTATTTTATAAGCGTTTCACATGGTAAACGTTATTTTTTAAATTTTGTGAAAACTCAACGGTTTGACACAAGCCCTAAAAATTATTTTACTCAGAATTTTGGTCATTTTTCAGCAAAAATATATTTTAGGGTAGAAGGTTAGATCTAACCTGTTTTCTAACCTCTTTTCTACCCCAGTTATTTTATAAGCGTTTTACATGGTAAACGTTATGAATTCGTGAGACTCTAAACAGTTTTGTAGCTTCTATTTCTTCGCTGAGGATATCGAATGTTTTAACTATGCCGAAAGTCTCTTTATACTTCTTCTTGACGTCAGATAGAAGGAAATCGTCAGCAGTTGGATAGTTTTTGTTCAGAAATTCTAACATGTCCATTTTATCTTCTGCTGGCTTTTCTGCTTCTGTCTTTAAGTCTGCATAGTCGTTTCTCATTCTTTCTATCTCTTTGACGGAGTAGTTATATCTCCTCATTGCCGCTTTACATTTAGAACATTGCGGGTTCATTTTTGCGTTATATTCTGAAACCTTACCTGCTAAAACAACTAAGGCGTCAATGGTTTTCTTTAACTCAAAAGCTGCTGGTTTTATTTGTTTGTTCCATATTTTACATCTTTTATCTTTATCTCTTATCTGCCATACACATTCAGCAACTAACGAAACAAAGTTGTCGTAGGTCTTAAATTCTTCAGATTTATATATGTCAGAAACATTCTTATATACCATGTCGCAATCTTTGTCCATAACCTTATGGTTGCAATGAAATCCTAGAAACTCATAGTTTACCTTTCGTATGAACTTCTTTATTTCTACTGAGTCAGTTGCTTTGACTTCAATTTCGTCGAATTCAGGAATAGTGAGTTTTTGTTGTTGGATTTCAGGCAATTTGGGCAAATGGTCAATAATGTCCTCCATTTCATAAAGATACTGTTCATTTGTTTCATCTTTCGCACTACAGTCTAAATTACATGTTAACAGTTCTTGCTTTATCTTCTGGATTTCTGTTTCAAAAGTATATGAAGAAGGAATGAAGCTTTTCATTTCTACTAACATTGACGTAGGATTCATGACTAACGAGTTTGGTGCTGTTGTTTGAATTGTTGTTGCTTCGACTGACATTTCTGTTCTTTTATACAAAATAAAAAAAAATAAAAAAATAAAACTAACTTTATTTTTTATTTCGGGAAAATTCATGAAAATTCACGAGGGTAGAAATGAGGTTAGAAAACAGGTTAGATCTAACCTTCTACCCTAAATTATATTTTTGGGTCCTTTACGCTCATTACGATGAAGAAGTCTTGACAAAACATTTACGAAGAAGTCTTGACAAATTCACGAGGGTAGAAAACAGGTTAGAAAACAGGTTAGATCTAACCTTCTACCCTAAATTATATTTTTGGTGTAAATTTCATTGACTGACTGACTGACGGCACAAAGTGGCATAACGAAAACATTTACGAAGAAGTCTTGACAAAACATTTACGAAGAAGTCTTGACAAATTCAAGAGGTGAAAAAAGAGGTGAAAAAACAGGTGAGATCTAACCTCTTCACCTAAAATATATTTTTTGGTGGTACGTCGGACATTGTTCTGAAGCAGTGCAAATATTGTTCTGAAGCAGTGCAAATATTGTTCTGAAGCAGTGCAAGTATTGTCTTGAAACAGTACAAATATTGTTCTGAAACAGTGCAAGTCTTGTTCTGAAACAGTACAAATATTGTTCTGAAACAGTACAAATATTGTTCTGAAACAGTACAAATATTGTTCTGAAACAGTACAAATATTGTTCTGAAACAGTACAAGTATTGTTCTGAAACAGAAAATTTTTCTCACAAATTGAGAGCTTTTACGGGAAATTTGTTCTGAAAAAGTACAAGTCTTGTTCTGAAAAAGTACAAGTCTTGTTCTGAAAAAGTACAAGTCTTGTTCTGAAAAAGTACAAGTATTGTTCTGAAGCAGTGCAAGTATTGTTCTGAAAAAGTACAATGGACAACATCGAGCCATTAGATGAGTTTTGTGTGTTTTCTACGATGGTAGAAAAAAGGGTAGAAAACGTGTTAGATTTAACATGCTAACATAAACTTTATTTTTCAATACTTTTTCTATCTTAAGGAAATTCATGAAAATTCAAGAGGGTGAAAAAAGAGGTGAAAAAACGGGTGAGATCTAACCTCTTCATCTAAAATATATTTTTGCTGAAAAATGACCAAATTTCATGAGTTTTGGTTGAAAGAATACGGTGGAGCCAAAAGTGGCTCGACCTCAAAACAAGCATTTTGTGAAGAATATAGCAACAGTCTGAATTCCGGCGGTTGGTTTTTATACAAAATTCAACGGGTGAAAAATTAGGTGAAAAAAGAGGTGAGATCTAACCTCTTCACCTAAAATATATTTTTGGTTCATTTACACTCGTTACGATGAAGAAGTCTTGACAAAACATTTACGAAGAAGTCATGACAAAACATTTACGAAGAAGTCTTGACAAAACATTTACGAAGAAGTCATGACAAAACATTTACGAAGAAGTCTTGACAAAACATTTACGAAGAAGTCATGACAAAACATTTACGAAGAAGTCATGACAAAACATTTACGAAGAAGTCATGACAAAACATTTACGAAGAAGTCTTGACAAAACATTTACGAAGAAGTCATGACAAAACATTTACGAAGAAGTCATGACAAAACATTTACGAAGAAGTCTTGAAAATTCAAGAGGGTAGAAAACAGGTTAGAAAACAGGTTAGATCTAACCTTCTACCCTAAACTTTATTTTTCAATACTTTTTCAGCACTTTTCCGTAGTTATATATGAAAGACAATTCGAGATAAAAGTCATAGTACAATGGAATAATATGTTGCACACCATTTGTTGTGAACCAAACTTGAAAGTCAGAGAAACTGTTACTAGGTGGTTCGTAGAATTTAGAAGCAAAGTCATAAAAGTCCTTACCAATACATAGAAAACTATTGTTGCTTGAACTGAAACTTGCATGACACATAACATTTTGAGGGTCAAACACGTTTCTATAAACTGTCAAATCTGCTGGTGGAAGTATAAATTTAAATGGACCATCTGGTGGTAATGGTTCGTTCTGGTTTAGTAACCGAAGAAATTGTGCCCAAGAACGTTTGTCTACTCCCCAAAATAAAAACTCTGTATCTCTTGGAGGGTTAATTTCAATCTTTTGAAATGAAACGGTGGAGTTCATCTTGTCATATTCTAGTTTCAGATAGTATGTTCCATTTAGTAAAGAGTCGTATTTTTCTTGAAATTCCCAATAGTATTTGTTCATTTGAGTTTGAAAGTCATTTAGAGTTTTCTCAAGACTTTCGTCTGAACGAACTGTAAAGATTCTCATTTCATCAAATTTGTCTATTAGACCATCAGAACCTTTATACTGCCCATGAAAATATACTGCGAACATAAATGCGTTAGTTCTATTTGAAAACAAAACTCTTCTAAATCCTATTGCCTTTGCATCTGAAGGACTTTGAAGCCAACGAATTGGATAGTCAAACCTGTATGCTCGGGATGAAATTTCTTCATCTGAAATAGTCCTACCAGCATTTGTAAAGATATAGTCTAACGGTTTTGTATCTGCTACTTTTGTTCTTTGTTTTTCAACCTGAAGCATTTAATATATGTAAAAATATATTGTTTTAAAATGGTATGCCATTTCATATTTCTCATCTAACAAACATGTTGTCTGACTGCTTGAGGGTTAGGTTGGTACCATTCGAACTTGACACTTGCAATTCCTTCAATTGCATTCAAAATGTCTGAGTCGGAGTCAACCATTTGTTCTCTCTTTGTAGTCTTGAAAGCGTCAAGAAGCATTGCAGCTGTTGTGACATTGCCATGTGCATAGTAAATGTGACCATCCAAATCTGTTATGGTCAATCTGAGATTGTGTCCTTTCTTATTTCCGTCTTGTATGGCAGCAAGTACTCCCATGAAGCCTTCTTTGTTCTTTCCTTCGTCAAAGTTTACTGTAAAGGTTCGACCAGATGTAATTTGACTTCTAACTTCACGGTACTTCTCATATGCATATCTTGTTCTTTCCATGGGAGCATGTGTGTCTTCACCTTTTCCTTTTTTCCTTCTCAAAGGATGCAATTGTTCGTCATGTTTCCAATAGAATCTGGCAAAGCCGTCGTGTCCTTCAACTTGAGGTTCACTAACATCGAAAGGCATGTCCATAAGACGTTCTTCTTCTAACCTCTCTAGTCTGTTTGGATAATTTGCACGTGCTGTTTCCAAATCCATTTCATAGCGAAGACCAGACAATTTGTCATAGACTTTTATGGGTCTTCCCTTCCTATATTTAAAATTCTTCGAAACTCTCCAACCATAACTTTGCAACTCTGCTTTTATTCTAGCAGATTTTCTATCCATTCTATATGGGGGCATTTTTATAAAAATAAAAAAATATTTTTTTCTTTACTTTACATAACCGCCTGAAGCCATAAGTCTTTGACGCCAACCCATACCAGCTAATGAAGGTTGACTTGGTTTAGTTTGGAAACTAAACTTTGGTTTTGGTTTATCTTCAGTTTTTGGTTTCTCTTCTTCTATCGGTTTTTCGTCACTTTTCGGTTCCTCTGACTTTACCTCACTTGCAGGAACAGTTGTGTCGTCAACATCTTCATAAATATCATATGCCATTTGTTTTTGTTTTCCTTTCAACTTTTTGTGTTTGTTGTAAAGTTTAGAATATTTCGACTCTAAGTCAATGAGATGTTCTATAATGAACTGTTGGTCAGTGAAGTAAACTTTTCCATCTGTTGTCTCGAAAGCTCCTTCAGACTTCAATATTTTATTTGTGAGAGTCTGTTTCTTTTTTGAGATACTTGCCGTTCCATTTTTATGAAAAGTGACTTTGTAGTTAGGGTTTGTATTTCCAGACCTGGCACTTTCTATTATTGAATTTTTCTCTTCATCTGTAAGTTCTTTGACAGGTTTTGACAATGGTTCTGAACTTTTTGTTTGTGGTGTCAAATCTACCGTTTCAACTTCTTCGGTCATTTCATCTCAGTAAAAAATTTTAGTTTGGTTTGTTTTCAACTGGTTGTTGTTGTTTTTTAAGTCGGTCTAAAACTTCCTGAGGTATAGGAAGAACTTGACAAACACGTTGTGTAACTGCTGGAAGCCGACAAATCCATCTTGAACCCATTTGTCTCAATGCTGTATTGTTCATTTCATCTCAGTAAAAAACTTTACATTCCCCACGTTTGAGGCGGTTGAGGTTGGTTATTGTTTACCCATTGTTGTGCATGGTTATATCCTCTGTTAAAGAATCTTTCACCTTGGTCCATATAGTGTCCTGCTTGGTTATAGTAGTCATTTGCTTTGTTATAATAGTTTCCTGCTTGTCTTCCTACATTGTCCATCCATCCTTGAACTTTTCCTCTTGTTTCAGGATTTGGAATAAGATTTGTTGCATCTCGTGCTACATCCCAACCTTTCTGTACAGTTTGTATAATAGGTTGTGCTTTCTCTTTAAGTATACCTAATGTACTCAAAATCTTCCTTCCAACTCCAAATACACCTCTGGCTATTGTTCCCACTGCGGGCAAAAATCTGGATGCAACTCCTGCTAACGCGCCAAATAAACCCATTTCTTATGGGTTAAAAAATGACGAATCCAAACAAGGACCCCTATGTTTCTAAGGCGACAAAGAAAGCACTCATGGTAAAAATCTTTAGTTCAACACCAAATGCTTGGTTTATGGATATCTTGGAAAACATTCCGAGGTATAGAGAAGATGGACCACCATACTGGCTAATATTTGTTGGTCAAAACACAAGATACTGTGAAGCCATACCATTACAGTCCAAAAATATTTTAGATATCTTAGCAGCTTTGACAATATTCGTTGACAAATACCATCCAACAAAACTAACATCTGACTGTGAAAGTTCTTTCAAATCAGACGATGTAAAAAACTATCTGCGTTCAAAAAATGTAAACCAATATTTCATTGTCGACCAAAACCATTCTGCTCTTGGTGTCATTGACGGTTGTATAAAAATGTTAAGAGACTTAAACCAACCACAAGGTGGTGAAGCAAATGAAATGTCATATGACGACAAATATAGACACTTCTCCATGGCAAAGATGAGACAAGTTTTAAATATTTACAATAGCCGTAAACAAAAAGGTTTGGGAAACCACTCCCCCGAAGAAATGAAAAACAACCCTGACTTAGAGAAAGACTATATATTTAATAATTTAGTCAAAAGAGACAAACAAGAAAGAATGCCGGGCTTCAAACTTCAGAAAGGTGACAAAGTAAAAATAGAAATACCCAAACGCGACCCATATGAAAATACTATTGACTATGACAACAATGGGAACCCGACAGGTACTCACATTCGTGTTCGTAAAAATAGAAGAAAGTATACAAGAGAATATTATGAAGTTTTAGGCAAACATGGCAAAATGTACACACTGCAAGCAGAAGATAAAACTACTATTGCCAGACCTCGTTTCAAACTTGTCAAAGTTCAAGGTGGTATACTTTCAAAGACAGTTCCTAACAAATATAAGACAACTCCTGACGAATATGCTAAAGAAGTTGAAAATGACGACTAAGCAATTCTATACCATGCGTAAACTGTCATGTAAGGTGGCATGTAGTCTTTACTTTGTCCCGTTGTTTGCGTATATCCTGAAACGAAATGTGTATGGTTTCCTTCTCCCTGAGTGTCATCCCAGTAACAATTTATAGCAAACTTAACGTCGTCTTTAACATCATATCCTTTACCTTTTGTCATTCCTGACCAATCCCAATATCTATGCTTATGCCAACCTGCTTGAGATGTACTTAAATCTATGTAGTGACTGTGTGCAGGTAAATTTTCACCTGAAATCGTTTTACTTCCACCTGTTTCCTTTGAAGAGTTTGCACAATACAAAAACCTGTCGACTATTTGTTCCCATGCACCAACACCAAACATTACTTGAGGACCTCTTGCTTCCATAGATGTATAAATAGAACCTACTGGGTTCATTAAATCAAACATATGAGATATTATAGGATTGTCTCTTTTGAACTTAAAATATAGTGCAACTATTTCAGGTTTCTTCTGGTTTGTGTCAGAATATTTTTTATAATATAATCTTATGTTTTCAGGGTAGGTAAAATCTTGACTATAATATTTATTTCTGTCATCTTCATAATAGTATACTATTCTCGTTTTTTCTATTGCATTATATCTTTTTATATCTATAAAAATCTAAATATAATGTTAGCTTTTGTTCATCTACATGTGGTGTTCTGTTGTCATCTCCATAGTCATAATAGTATGGTGCTGGAGCTGGGTCAGGCAATGTCATATCTGTCATTTCATAAACTCGGAAATATTTCTTTTGTTCGTCTCCATATAAGTTTAAGTAGCAGTTGTTGTCTAATGGAACTTTAACTTGTGTACCATCGTTCTTTTTATAGCTTACATACATTTCATTGTTATTTTTCGGAATGAGTTTATACCGTATACCATTTTTTAAGGAATGTACAAACTGCCATCTAAAATATTTGTTTTCTTCATTGAAAGAAAAGTCACCAACAATAGTTTCAATATTTTTTGTTCCAACTAAACTTTGGTATATTTCATTGACATATGTTTTATCTGCTTTATTTTCAAGGCTAACGTTTAAGTCTGTTATTTCAAAGATGTATGTGTATGTCCAACGTCACTTTTCCTGTTTAAGGTTTCTTGTAAGTTTGCAATATTTGCAATGGTATGTGTATGTCCAACGTCACTTTTCCTGTTTAAGGTTTCTTGTAAGTTTGCAATATTTGCAATGGTATGTGTATGTCCAACGTCACTTTTCCTGTTTAAGGTTTCTTGTAAGTTTGTAATATTTGCAATGGTATGTGTATGTCCAACGTCACTTTTCCTGTTTAAGGTTTCTTGTAAGTTTGCAATATTTGCAATGGTATGTGTATGAGTCTTTTTAGAATATTCGTTTTCAGCTCTTGTCACTTCACTTGACATTTTATTGTCAACATATGTTTTGTCTGCTAGTTCAGGATGAGTATGTTCTTTTGTTGCATAAGCTTTGTTAGCTCTTTCTTCTTCTTTTGCTATTGCATCGTCTACATATTCTTTGTCAGCTTTGTTGCCAACATCTGCTTTCAAAAGAAGTTCAGATATAGGTTTCTCGTTTAAAGTTCCTTTTGTTGGATTTATACAAACAGTATGGTTCTTATTGTCTTGAAACAGAAACTCATCTGTCATTGGGTTTAATGTCAGTTTTAAGTTTCCTTCTTTCAATGACTCAGATATCTTAGAATAGTTTGAAAAGTTTGTTGTGTTCTTATTTAGAGCTTGTATAATGAGTTGTCGGTTGTGTTGTATTTCTCTCATAGACGCTGTTTCATTTGACATTTTTATTCTAGATAAAATATGCTTTCAATAGAAAAAGAAAATTCAAGAGTTGCTACAACTAAACCATTAGATGAACTTTTTACGAATGTCGGTCAAAAGTTTGAGACAGAGACCGTAAAGCATGAAGGCTATCGTTTTGACTACCCGTTAAGATGGTTAAGAGACCCATCTGTCACAAAAGCTATTGGCTTTCGTAGAATGAAGTTCATTTCAGAAGCCATACATGGTTTCCCATTTACAGTCGGTTTTGAAGTTCGATACTATAACAAAGAAAAACATACGTATGAGAAATTTGAACAGGGAAAACTTTTACAAGTTAGTTTGCTTGTAAACTTAGAAACAACTCTTCAAGCTTTTCAAGAAAAAATAAACGACATCTATATCGAATATGCAAACCAGTATAACATTGACGAAGGAGAGTACCATCTCGATATTATATATGACAGGAAAAATGCAACTGTTAAAATCAATAGAATAGAAGACCTTGGAGAAAACGTTTATATTTCTACAAAATATAACAACTTGGCATGGTATAGATTTATGAGGATGTTAAATCAGCCTGCAGAATATCCAGTACACCCGGACTTTTATGAAGTCGAAAACCCTAATGGAACATATGAAAATGTTTTCGACTCAGATGCTATTATAGTTCATGCTTCATTTTCTGGTGCACAAAACTCTTTTTTATGCTTGGCAAATGACTTTTACGAAAAACCTACAAAGCTATATGAACCACCAAGTGGAAGTATTTCAGACTTTCAAGTATGGTTTACAACAGATGGAAGAAAGAGAATAGTTCCATTATACCATGCGTTTTACTTAGAACTTAGTTTCATATACAACTACTATCGAACGGTAAAAATATAATTTTTTAATACGGTTGAGGTGTTGGATTTGGTTGCCAACTAGACTGTGGTGCAGGTTCAGGCTGTTGTATAACAGGAGCTTGTTCTTCTGGTTCAGGGTCTTTAGGTATAATACCAACGAACTGACCTACTCTTTTACCAATATTTTTGACTCCGTTCCAAATTCCTCTTCCGACAGATTTTATTCCATTCCATATACCTCTTCCAACATTTCGAAAGAAGTTTCCTATTCTTCCAAAGAAACCCATTTTACTATATGTAAAAATCTAATGTCCGCCTAGTCTCTTACGTTTCCTGTTGAGTTCCATAGCATTCTTTAACTGGAGCTCATACATTCTGTTTCTCCTCTGGTAGAAAACATATTCTGGGTCAACTCCTGTGTTCGCGTCATCTGCATAAAGTTGT